CAGTGGTCAAGCGCTCCTGGGTTCAATCCCTGATACTCAAAATAAAACAAACTAGTATCCTTATAAGATGAAGAAAACCTGAACACAGACACACAGGGACAAGCCCAGAAACACCAAGAATTGCCAGCCTCTGCCAGGAGCTAGGGAGAGGCAAGGAGACATGTGTCCCTCTCTAGCTCTACCCCACCTTCCCCAAAGAGCCTTTAGAGGGAACTTGGTCCTTCTGACACCTTGACTTCAGACTTCTAGATTCTAGAAGTGTGACACAGTAAGTTTCTGGGTTCTTTTTGTTTTGTTTTTTTAAGCAGAAAACTTATTTCTGTGGTATTGTGGTATTTTGTTAGGGAAGCCCCAGGAAATGAATATCTCTGGTACAGTTATCTGCCCAAAGTGCCAGAGTCCTTCCATGTGCTCCCCCCTTTGATTCTTGCCTGAGACTTGCCTGTGCCATCAGTCTCTTCTGCCCATGTAATGTTTGGGCTCACTGAGGTCACAGCTCAAGTTCTCTGAGCCTTTGGCTCAGGCCTTGGCCTGTTCTGCAGTCACATGTGTGGACACATACACTGACCTCCTTTGCTGTTCTCCATACAGCAGAGCTCAGAGAAAGCAGTGTTCTGGTGCTGGAGGCGGTGATTGGGGAGTTTCTCACTGAGCTGGGTTGGATTTTCATTCCTAGTACTTATTAGCTGTGTCATCTAGCTTAGGTATTCAGTGTTCCTAGTTCTCTTTCTTCTTCTGTAAAGTGGGGCTTGGGAAAGACCAGCCATACCCCACTTCCTGTGCAGGAGCTCTGGGGGCCAATGCCAATGCAAAACATTGTTAGAAAGAAAACCTTGGAGGAAATAAAGGGCTGGAGGGCATGGGCTAGTCTACTCCCTCACAGGACTCTCTGATTGCTCAGTGGAATGGACCTTGCTCAGGAGAAGGCCTGGAGAGCTGGCCTGCATATTGTACCAGGACTATAACCAAGTGGGGCTCCTTCTGACCCTAGATGGTGTCTTAGTGATGTCACCTACTTCATTTTGCTCAGAAGAGGAGTTTGGAATACCCCATGCTACATGGTACAAATCTGATGGTGCTGCCTCTCACTTAAACCTTAATTTTGGGCTGGGGATGTGGCTCAAGTGGTAGCACGCTCGCCTGGCATGCGTGCGGCCCGGGTTCGATCCTCAGCACCACATACAAACAAAGATGTTGTGTCCGCCGAAAACTAAAAAAAAAAAAAATATTAAATTCTCTCTCTCTCTCTCTAAAAATAAAGGCATTGTGTTGTGTCCATCTACATCTAAAAAAATAAATATTAAAAAAATAGCAAGGTACTAAAATTAGAATTCAAATTCATATCTGTATAATTAAAAAAAAAAAAAACCTTAATTTGCCCTTAACTTTCCCTATGTATAAAGTCCAGTGGCCTCAGCAAGGCACAAAGTAAGGCCTTTCTTGATTTTCTTACCTGTGCTTGCACCCCCATCTCCCCACAGCCTCTCTACATTGTCCACTGTGTACTGTCACCAAGATAAGGCAAGCTCTTTCCCTTGTTGGTCTTGATTTCTTTTACCTATTTTTATTTTTGAGATGTTGCCCAGGTGGGCATTAAATGCCTGGGCTCAAGTGATCCTCCTGCCTCAGCCTCCAAAGTAGCTGGGAATATTAGTGCATGCCACCCCACGGGGACTTGGTGGCCTTGAGAAAACCTCTACTTGTCCTTCAACAACAAAATAACAATGCAACGCTCACCTAACAGAGCAAATCATTATATGTGTGTGTGTGTGTGTGTGTGTGTGTGTGTGTGTGTGTGAGCGTGAGCTCTTAGCCTCGTAACAAGGTCTTATTTGGCCCAATTTACAAATAAGGAAAAAGACTCAGGTTAAACAAGGTACCTGAGGCCAATTTGTGCATCATAATCATACCGTGAACCTTGCTCTTGCTACAAAGCCTATGATCTGCCTCTTCTACCTGGCTGGCCTCCCTCTTCTTTCAAAGGTTATTGTCCAGTAACTGGCCCTGGCTCTCTGCAGCTGCTCAGGGTGCCTCTAGTTACACTAGCAAAGGTTGACACCAGCAAATAGTCTCTGCAGCCTTGGTTCCCTGTCTCCCTCCCAAGACTAGGTTTGAGATCTCAAACCTAGCACCATGCCAAGCTGGAAACAGGTATTACTGGTCAATGATGGTTTGGAACAGCCAATGGAACAAAAAAGGTAGACAGGAACTTTCCCAGGGATAAAAATTTAGGAATATTCTATGGTCTTTTCACATTACAGAGCCCTTTCCAACCTTTCCTAGCTAACCCTCACCCTCATTCCTTTCCTTGCTAACCCTCACCCTCATTCCTTCCTGGTTGACTGGAGCTCCTTACCAAGGTACAGCATGATCTTGTCTTCCCAAGGATTAGTGCTCATCTGAAGCAATCAGTGCGTTGGCCACAAGGTTTGGAATCAGACCTAGTTCAGACACTTACTGGCTTGTGACCCTGGACAATTTAAATAATCTCTTTAATGCCTGGTTTTCTCATCTGTGAAATGGGAGGATTCTACCTGCCTCTGAGCTAATCTGAGGATCGAGACAGGTGCCTTACCTCGTTGTGGGACAGCATCACCATTGCTCTTGTTTTATAGACTGGTAACTAAAGACAAGAAGGCTGAATGACCTTTCCATAGTGTGGAGGTGCTGGGAAAGCCTGCAGGGGTTGGGCAAATTAGACCTGGACAAAGCCATCAGCCCCAGATCCCGTGCTGCCTCTGTGGTGCCCCCAGGTACAGACCCACCTGGCCGAACACTGATGTTCTGTATTTCCCTCACTCTTCAGTGAGGTATCCTCACAGTCTCCCCACAATGGACTTCTGAGAGGTGAGTCCTTAGCAGGTAACATCTCTGACTTTCAGCTGCCCTTTCAAGTTTCAGTGGCTAATTCAATCTTTTCGAGCTGGCTGTAGCCCTGAGTTTCTAACTATTCTAAAACACTTCTGCCCCATCCACGGACATGGGGTCATTTTGTACACTAGGAAAGAGCTTCTCATACAAGGCTTGGCCTCCTCTTGAAAAGGGTGGAAGCACCCATTTGAGAACACCTTTCCTGGGTAGGGGATTGGGGAGGGTGTGAGGCACAAGGCAGAAACGGAAAGGGAATGGAGAGGCTGTATCAGGGCTGGCCTTTGGGGCAGCTTCTCCTTAGGTACTGTCCCTTCCTTTGTAGTATCTGCAGCTTCTCCAGGACCTTTTGCTAATGGTTAATTCAGGGGAAATATGGGAATCAGAGCAACCAGAGAAGGCCTCTCTGCAGTCTGCTCACTAGGGGGCACCCACAGCTACAGGATGCCGCCCATCCTGGGTGGGAAGGAAATGCTGGGCCAGCAGGTGGCGGTGCCCTTAAATCCTGGTAAGAATCCCTATCCCTCAAAGACCCGGGTTCACTAACCCTATCCAGTTGAAGTTGTTACCCTGACACAAGGAGGCTGCCTCTGACCTCTCAGATCCGTATAGATGAAACTCCTCTGTCCTTGCCTCCAAGAGATGATTATTTCATCAGGGGAGGAGTGTTACCTGACTCTTCCACAGCCCTTAGGGATTCATATTCATTTTTGCATCCCCAGTGCCAGCTCAGGCCTTCCTCACCCCACCCCCCTCCCCGGATGGAACCCAGGACATTGCACATGCTAGGCAAGCACCTTACCACTGAGCTACATCTCAAATCAGCACAGCTTTTTAAAAAGAATTGGGAATCACAAAGAGGTGCTATGCAAGCTAAAAGGAGGCATGCTCTTCAAGTCTTTCTCCTTCCTTCCTTCCTTCCTTCCTTCCTTCTTTCCTTCCTTCCTTCCTTCCTTCAAATCAGTAAGCAGTTCCCTCTCTACACTGGATAAGACCAAAAAAAAAAAAAAAAAGAGCTTCAGCTAAATAAAGTGAAGCGAGACCCAAGAAGGAGAAACCTGACAAACAGAACTTTTGCCCAACACATGCATGACGTTTCAGTACAAGAAGAGAACAATCTGATGTTTTTCTGGGAGTGGGGCAGCTGGTGGCGCTTATGGGAAGGTGGAATTCTTCAGAGGGAAAAGTCAAGAATAGGTGGCCCCTTGGGACCCTATTCAGCCCGAGAACACCAGTGGGTTGGTCTCATGGGATCTTCTCCACCCATCAGGATTCCCTTTCCCCAAACTCTGTAGCAGGGTACCAAAGAAGATAGGAATATAGATTTTAATCATTGTGCTGCTGTGATTAATCAGAGTGCAAGAAATCCATCTTTTGTGGATTTTGATGCCACAGTGTAAATGAGAAAGTTTCACACAGAAACACTCTGGGGGCATCAGGGAGAAAAGAGCCAGGCCTCTGGAGGGAGGGGGGCAGAAGGAAAAATGCAGAGAGGAGATGGGGGCTCAGAGCAGACACAGGGCTCAGTGTTTTCTCCTTCCCCATCATCACACCTGCAGCAAGGATCCTGAGAGGAAGGATCCTTCCTGCAGGGGCTGCTGGCCTGGACTGGGAATATGAGCCCCCACCCTCCTTTCCCGAGCTTTGATGCCAATTCTTGCTGATCTAATGAGGTCCAGGGAAGGTCAAATTGATGAACAAATAAGGAAAGGATGTAAACCAAAGGAGAAATAAGAGGTTTGAGGCTGGGCATGGTGGCCCATGTCTGTCACCCCAGCAGCCTCGGAGATGAAGACAGGAGAGCTGAAAGTTCAAAACCAGCTTCAGCAACTTAGCGAGGCCCTAAGCAACTTAGGGAGAGCCTGTCTCAAAATAAACATAAAAAGGGACTGGAGATTTGTCTCAGTGGGTAAGTGCCCCTGAGTTCAATTCCTGGTCAAAAAAAAAAGGTTTGAGACCCCCCCCATCCTTCTCCATCTTTTATCCTAAGAGACCCTCAAAACTAGTCCAGAGCTGGGGAAAGAACAATAGCTGGCATCCTGGGAAGTAGCCCAAACGGCTCTGACAAGACCTTTCCTCGTGTAGACAGTGGAGTGATACAATCCCGGGCAAAGCTGTTGGGCCCAGGACAGCTAGGAGTCAGAGACACACAGGGCTTCCACTGCGTCACTCAGACCCTGGTTGACACCCCCTACAGCCAGGAGGCAATTCTTGATGGTGATGCTGGAGCAGGCACAGCGGGGCGTGGGCATGGGAGGGAGGACCTCCCACTTGTTCTTCCCTGGGTGGAATGCTTCTGCGGTCTCCAGGACAGTGGGTTGGTTTCCTGAAAACACCAAGGGAATCAGATCTTACAAAAGAGTCCGGCTGCCAAGAGTCCATGCCCCGAGGTTACTCGCCTCTTCTTCCCTCCCTTGGGAACCCAAAAGCAAAAGCCAAGCAACTTCAACTTTCCTGGCTATGGGATGCTTCCCTCTTCCCTGTCCTGGGCCAGTAGCTCCCTACCTACCGTCTCCCTATCTTTTAAGGTCTTTAAGGGTAAACTTTCTTTTCCACCTCTGGTTTTTTGTTTTTTTTTTGTGTGTGTGTGTGTGTGTGTGTGTTAGGGATTGAACCCAGGACCTTGTGCATGCAAGGCAAGCACTCTACCAACTGAGCTATATCCCCAGCCCTCCAAACTCTGGTTTTTACAACAAGTTTCTAGAGCACTACTGACTCCTTCCTGCTCGTCACTAAAAAAGCTACCCCATGGCCTAGCTTATACTGTCTTTCATGTGTGAGTAAAGTGTGAGTATGTCCACACTAAGTAAACGTGGGGTACCTGGAACCCCCCTGCCTGTGTCTCTCTGCCCTGACGACCCTGGACTTTCTCCTCTTGGAGTCCCTCCTTCAAAATATCAATAATCTCTGGAAGGGAAACACACCAAATTCACAATTCATTAGAAGAATTTATTTGATCGGATTCTTTCCTAATGGAGCTCTATCTCGTCTTTTTCAATAAAGCTGGGTATTCCAGGAATGCCTTGAATATCTGGTGCTAGTCCAGAGAAGGATGAAGGCTGATTCCCCCTGGACTTTGTCTCTAGTCATTCCCAGATAGGGCCCCAGGGATTTGTGCTTCAGCAAGCCTAGGTTACACAGTGATCAGTGTGTTCCTTATACTCTCTGGGCCTGTTTCCCTGGTGCAAGGCAGAATGACCACATTGATAAGTGAAGTCTAGGCCAGGAGGCCGGGAGTGTTTTCAATCATTTAGAATAAAGCAGCGGGCGGGTAGAGTGCGAGGGCCAGACCCTTTGCTACTTATGCAAAGTGCCAAGGATCCAGGAGTACCAGAACCACAGTGCCTTCCATCCTAGAACTCCATCCTTACCAAGTCCCCCAGCCACTATGACCCGTCCACTCAGAGAACCAGCCACGAAGTCTGCCCGTCGTTTCTTAAGAAAGAATGACCGTTCCATCTTCAGCCATCCCCCTACAGGCAGGATAGAGGGAGGGAATTAGATGCTGACCAAATACAGAGAAATCCCAAATGGCTCTTACCCTGGGCAGTGAGTCCCTTCCATTACCCTTATACTCAGGGTGTGCATGGCACCCCTTGCTGTTTGAAATGACATCTTCTGACCTCTGCCCTCTCCTGATCTTGCTGCAAGCTAAGGGACCACGATCCCCACCATGAATCCTCTGCTCTACTTCAGTTTTCCCAGGCTTTATGCTGGAGAGGAGGCTGATAAAGGTGGTGAGCATTGGGACCCCTGTTTCTCCATCAGTTAAAAATAGGTGAGATCCAGCCAGACACAGTGGTGCATATCTGTAATCCCAGCAGCTCAGGAGGCTGAGGTAGAAGGATCCTGAGTTCAAAGCCAGCCTCACAAAAAGCGAGGTGCTAAGCAACTCAGTGAGACCCTGTCTCTAAATAAAATACAAAATTGGGCTGAGGGTGTGGCTCAGTGTTGAGTGCCCCTGGTGCCCAAAATGTTGGTGAAATCCCTCCCTGGCCTGGTCCTGCATGGATAATGTTCAAAGAAGAAATAACAAGTAGAACAGGCTTTGATGAAAACAACCAACCAGGCAAAAGGGAGCCCTGCACAGATCAAAGAATCTGACCCCAAGAGTAGCCATTAGTGGTTCTGGGTAAGGGCTGGGCACTGGGTAAGGGCCGGGTGCTGGGTGCTGGGTGCTGCGTTAAGGGCTCACCCTGCTGGGTAAGTGACCTGGAAAGAAGGGTGGGATGTGGGCAGTAGGGGTCAGTTGGAAGGGAGGAAAGCAGCCAGAGTCCTGCAAGAGCAAGGAGCAGGCTGACGCCCAGCTCACCCTGTTCCATGTCAAACACATCCATTGTCCGCAGGAACTTGGGCTGCCGATAGAGCCGACCCTGCCGAAGGCCTCCCAGGCTGTACAAGTGACTGTCCAGGGTCACAAAGCTGGAGAAAGCCCGCTTACAGGGAATGTTGGGGAACTTGGTCCAGGAGCGAGTCTCGATGTCGAAGACCTCGAAGGCATTGACCGCATACTTGGACTGTCGTCCCCCTGGAGGCCATATGGGGTGGTAGATGGGGGTGGGCAGAAGAGTAGTCCCTGAGGACAGGGGCTGGGGTCTTCTTCTGACTGTCACCCATTCATCCAAGAGGCTAGCTAAGGCCTGGGGCAACATGATTACCCCCACACACACACCCAGTGCCAAGGAGCTGCTCAGCCCATGGGCACAGTTTCCCAGGAGAACCAACCCAAGGGAGATGACCCAACCTTACCCAGCACGTAGATCTTGGAGCCTCGGAGGAAAGAGGTGGCAGCATATCTCGGGGTAGGCATGGGTGCGAGTGACACCCACATGTCCTTGAGCATGTCATAGTGCTGGAGGTGGTTGTGTGGACGGAGGTCCAGGCCCATCCCGCCTGCTGCGTACACTCGGTAATCTAAGAAGAAAGGTCACATACACTTCTGGCTTAGTTCATAGACACCAGGAGACAGAGCCAGGCTGTTTCCAACCAATGCTCTGCCAGAGTGAACCACATCTGCCATTGTGGTTGATGGCACCATTCAACCACCCTGTCACAGCTGAGCCTGGGTTTTCCTGAAGCCAAAGTGGGACTGCATGCCATAGCCCTTCTTGGTGCCCAGCCCTTGGCTAAGCTCCAAACTCTAGGTCTTCCACAGAGAGACTGCGGTGAGGTCTACAGCGCAGTCTTGGCCCTCTGCTGCCTTCCTTCTTGGGCAACCAGAGGGGAAGCCAAAGGGAAGAGGAATTCTTCTTATGTCCTCCAGCTGCAGCCTGTGCTCAAGCCACCCCTACCTGGAACTCTCCAGATAGAGCAGGGCCTTTAGAAACAAGGGTAGCCCCACTGTCACTGGCCTTATGGGACACTGGACTGCCTCGTTTTTGCTTTCTTTGCCACCCTTATGCGCGAATGCCATCCTTCTTCACCAATTGAGGATGCCAAGGGATCCAGGAGGCACCCTGCATTAATGGGACAGGGCCAGAACTGAATGAGGGGGGACAGGGCCAGAACTGAATGAGGGTGACACTTGAGGAGAGAGACTTGGCCTCTTTAAGAAACCGCCTGGCAAGAATCTGGGCGTTCTGAGAAGGAGTCCCCTCCCTCTCTCCACTGCTCTTGGCTATAGGTGACTTTTCAGGGACCTCCCTGACAGACTGCACCACAGATGGCAAAGTATTTGTGTTTTCTTGGGATTCAATGGGGCCTGATAAGGAATAACTAACCTATTGCATGCTCCACCCCTCCCCTCTTACCTGAAACTCCTCCTCTTGGGAATCCTCCCATTCATTCCATACTCCCACCATTCTGTTTTCAATTCTGACTCCTCCTTTCAGATTCACCTGGGTCTCTTGAATTGTAAGGCTGGGCTGAGGGCACCACTTAGTGCCTCCATCACCCTCCTTGCCATATATCACTGAAATCATCTTTGGATCTTTGTTCTTCCAATAGACTGTAGGTCCTTGAGAATCTGTTAATCTGCAGTCCCAGAATCTGTTACAGTGCCTGACACCCATGCATGTAAATGCTTCTTAACTGCTGAATCCATTCAATGCCAGAGACATGACATCACCTACTAGCTGTGTAAACTTGGGCCAGTGACTTAACCTTTCTGGACCTCACACTGCTCCTCTCTAAAACGAGGATGAAGGTCTGAGGATGTAACTCAGTGGTAGATGCTTACCTAGCATACATAAAGTCCTGGGTTTGATCCCTAGCCCAGCAAAAATAAATAAGCAACTAAGGATAAAAATAGCACTTACCTCCTTGGACAGGTTGTGAGGATCAAAGTGGATAAAACATCAGTGGTAAATGTTATTTCTTAACCTTTCAGCAGTTTATTGAGGACAGGGAATGAAGGGTACTCTTTCCCCCCTTTGGGTTCCCCATGGACCTCGGTATCTTCCATTATCTTTACTGGGATGTCATAGAAACCCCACTAGCTACCCCATTCTAGGGGACTCTGGGCTAGAGCTACACCCTGGTACCTTCAGTGTGTCAGACCTCAGCTTCTGAAGGCAGGGACCAGATCTTCCGTCTCTTTCCTTCCACCCTCCATCCTGAGGCCTACGACTGTGCCAGGGACTGGGCAGGTTTTAAGGAAATAGTGGTTTCTGACCTATGGTGGGCCTCACAGGCAGGTGGGGTGGTTTAAGCAAGGGAGGCAGGGGTAGTGCCTGGTGGTGGGGGTGGATTGCACATCCCTCTGCATGCCTATGCTGCCCACGCACGTGTGTATGAATTTGGAATCTCCTAACTCCTTATTTGACCATTTCTTCTAAAACTCTGTGTTTTAGCAAAAGAGCTTTTGGACTCTGCTCCCACCCCATGCTCTGAGCTGTAGTAGGCCAAAAAGGAACAAAACAAGGGACTTTGAGAAAGTGAAATGAGAATCTTAGAACCATATAGTCAGCATGTGCATGCTTGAAAACTTGGTGAACTTGGAGAACACAACCCTCAGGGACATTCTGGTCTCTACTTGGCATCGCTGAGACTGGGAGACAGAAGGGAAGGGGAGAAAAAAATCCTTGAATCAGTCCCAAGGGCCCCTAGTGGGGCTTTGGTGATGGTGCAAGGACGGAGTGAACATCCTCAGCACCCCAAATAGGAATTTAGAGGTAGTGACAGGTAGGGCAGGTTTCAGGGCAAGGAGTGTGGCCAGTGGGAGGGATGGTAATTTAGCTGAATGTCTGCGGGGACAATGCACCTAACCCCACAGACTACACTTTGACTCTCCCCTCTGGCAGAGGCCTGTCCCGCTTGTTGGGAGGAAGCTGCCAAAGTGGACTTTTGCCATCAGTTGGAATTCCTAGACACTTGCTGAGCCTCATTTTTCCCATTTGTAAATAAGGGCAGTGGATCTCCTATTTTGAAGTCCACTGTGAGGATCAATAACGGTGAAGTGGAATCAGGAATGTGATCATGCATTCCCAAATCAGTGTTGGTTTCTCTCCATTTCCCCAGGCCCCCTACTCTCTTCAATCCACCCACCCTCAGCCCTGGCCTCACTTGCCTTTTGCTGTGACAGAAATGCCCATGGCAGCCTCACGCAGCATGCTCCTCTTCTTCCACTTGCCCTCATCAATATTGTACATCTCCACGACCTTCAGGGGCAGCTGATTGGTGCCCACACCCCCGATCACCATGATCCGCTTCCCCAGGGCGATGACTGCCACCCCTGCCCGGGCTGTGGGCAGAGGGGGCAGGGCGGTCCACTGGTCGGCCTCGGGGGAGTAGACCTCAAAGCAGTCCATAGGGACACCATTGTCATCACATCCCCCGATGGCATAGACTTGTCCCCCGGTCTCCAGCAGGGAGCAGTAGACCCGGCGGCTAGGAAGTGGCGCCAGGCGCTTCCACTGAAAGTCCTTGACATTAGGCACCTCCATAGCAGCCCCGGGGACCCTGCCCGCCCCGTCCCAGCGCAGCGCTAAAGGAAGTTCAAGCCCGGGATTTGCGGACTACTCCGCGCCTGATCCCTCTTGCCTGTCCCCTCTTGCCGCCTCCATCTCGCTGGCTTGCTCCAGCCCGACGCCGGTCAGCACCTCACCGTCCCTCAATTCTCAGCGGTCCGGTGGCGTCCAAGCCTGGTCCTGCGGGAGGAATCGGGCAAATCAAGGGCAGCTGGGGCCACACGCCCTTGCGGCTGGCGGGCGCAAGGGCGACCTCCACAGCTTCTCGCCAACTTTAAAGGGAGACACAGTGGCACCCCGCCCCACCCTGCTTTGTCCCCCTGCTCCCGTCCCCGCGCGTCTGGGAATCCGCCTGAGCGCGCGCAGGTTCCGGGGCTCTCAAGGGTTCCCGGCCCTGGACCACCCCCGGGAAGGAAGGAGTGACATCCGTCAGCGTAGAAGCCTCCCGCCCGGCCATCTCGGTGCTCACACCCCCGCGCCACTTACACTGCCAGGCCGGAGCAGCGCGGCGGCGAGTAGACAGTGCATCCCCCGGGCGCCCGGAGCCCCAGCCCGGCGGCGCGGGGAACGGGGGAGAGGGCGCTCTGTCCTTCCCCAGTCCGCACGCCGCTGTCGCACAAGCAGACGAGAACAAATGAGCTGCAGGAAGGAGCAGCGGAGCTGCGAGCGGGGAGGAGGCCGGCAAGCCGGCTCGGCTCGCAGCTTCACCCGCAGGCGCCACACCTGTGCAGGAATCGCGCGCAGCGGCGGAGCGAGCCCCGGCCTCTTTACATAAGCCCAGCCTGCGCCGGGCGGCGGGGGAGGGAAGGGCTCTGGCGGCCCGAGGCGCTCACCTGGTCTACAGGGCCAAGGGAAGCGGGGGGGGGGGGGGGGGGGCTAGAGCCAAGTACCAAGATGACAGGACCAGACTCCCTCCAGCGAGGGGGCGGGCATTTGCGAGTGTTTGTTTTGGATGAGGAGGCGGAGAGTCCAATTACCCAGTTTGTCTACAGTACACAGACCCAGTTCGTGACAGGCTGGCTTTGCTTTGGGGGAGGCATTAGCATATGGTTTAACCTCATGGAAACAAATTCCGTGGGAATGACACGGAGATCTAACAGGTACATCTGAACACAACCTGCACGCATATACATAACTACGCATTGCCCTCCCCGAAATGGACACATCCACGATCTACAGAGCAACTGACAAATGCACAGATAGGTGACACAGCACCAGAGACACCAACATAGGCACACACACTGGAGGTCCCTTTCTGTCTTTCTCTCATATAGCACATGGGACACACCCACATCACAGAAAGGGGAAACCTGATTATCATATCTTGGTCCTTGGAACAAACCCACAGAGCTGTACAGGTAATCCTTTCAAACCTCTCAAACAGACTTTTCAGGACTATGGTCTCCAGCCATAAAGGTGCCCATTACACAGTGGACCACCAGGTCTGGTGGACTGTTATGGTTACCTCCAGTACAGCTGTATTTCCAAACACCCAGGCTTGGGAGCCTGATGGACCTGGGATGGAATCCTGGCTCTGAAAGTTTTGAACTACTCTGAGTCTTGGTTTCCTTACATATATTCTCAGTTAGACTTTTTATTTTGAAATAATTATACTTTCACATTTGGTTGTTAGAAAAAAGACTCTTTACCCAGTTTCCCTCAATTGAAACTCAAAACACTATAGTATGACATTACCACAACCAGGCGATTGAAATTGACCAGTGAAGGTACAGAATATTTCCGTCACCAAAAGGATCCCTCATATCATCCTTTTATGCCAGACCTACTTGCCTCCCACTTCCCCAGTCCCTGGTAACTAGAAAGAAATCTGCTCTCCATTTCCATAAACTTGTCATTTCAAGAATATTATACAAATAGAACGGGACATATGTACCATTACATATGTAACTCCCTAGAGATCCATGCCAGTTGTTGAATGCATCAATATAGTTCATTCTCTTCTGTTTCTTTCTAGCATTTCATTGTATGGCTGTATCCTTGCAGGTTTTTGTGAAGATTAAATAAGATAACATTTAGGAAGTGTTCACTATACCTCTAGACACATCAAAGGGCCTACCTAGTAAATTTCTATTAATATCATTACTGTTTCTATGACTTCTTGAAATGAAAATATCAACACAAGAGTATTTTGAACTCTTAACAATTCCACTATTTTTAAAATTTAAATTCTCATACTTAATAAAATGAACACCCTTAGACCTTCTCCAGAAGAAGATTGTGTTCTGTTTTTTCTGTTCAATAAGAATTTATACCTTCTGGGGGTGGGGGTGTGTAGCTCAGCAGTAGAGCACTTGCCTAGCATGTGCAAGGCCCTGGATTTGATCCTCAGCACCACATAAAAATAAATAAAATAAAGGCATTGTGTCCAACTACACCTAAAAATTAAATGAAAAATTTATACCTTCTGAATTAATGAAGTTTTCTAGGAATCATCAAACATTTCCTTCCTCCCTTTCCTAGTCTACCCAAAGGAATAGGGAACAAGCCCCTTACCTCAACCTGACCATTCTTTACAAAATCAGCCTGGGGTGACCAGGAAGGCTGAAAGCCACAGGTCCTTCTCAAAGGGGCTTTTTTGGGGGTCTGTGTTCAGCCTTGCTGGTCCGCTGAGCCTTCTGCACAATTAGTGAGGCCAGGCTTCTTGTATCTCCACACAGCTGGAACAGATTAACAAGTAGATATACAGACTTCCATACTTTATATTTATGTCACTCAAAGAGATAAGCTAAGCCATCACCCATCTACTTTCTCACAATCTTGAAACAACCCTGGGAGAGGCTGCTAGAGCAGGTTTCAGTATCCACACTTTACAGATGAGGACTCTGAGACTTAGTGAAGTGGCTTATTTATGACAATGCAAATCATTCGGGGTGGGCTAGGTTGTAAATTCAAATCCAGTGCCTGTCCACTTTATCACAGTTAAACCACAAATGAAAAAAAAAAATTGTGCATTATTAAAGGAAAATGTTTTTTCCACTCTCATCTGGCTCCTGGACTTTTGTCCAACTGCAGAGAAGGAAGGAGCCCAGACCCCCAAGGGGATTCTAGCCACTGCCTGTACTGTACTGTCTGTGCTGGGTGACACAGCTAGGGAAGCACCTAGATCAGCCCCTGGACAGGTTCCCATTCTCGACTAATGTTCATATCCTACAGGCACTGCCCACTACACAGACCATGGGGTCTAGAGACTTGGGCCTTTGGAAAAGTACTAAGGACAGGGAGACTTCTAGGCCATGGCCTAATTGTCTATTCTGGAAGTCTTGGCTTGTTTCCACCTCCCCCAACACTTCCCCCATGGCTCGTCCTCCTAGCCAGGTGACATCCTTTAGTACTTACATTGAGTGCACATTAAAGAAGCTTGTAACCTAGCAACCACCACTTAAGATTCCCTGAGTCACCTGCAGTTTCCATGCCGGGGCTGAGTGAACCAAGCTGTAGCCTTCAGGAGTGCTAAGCAGAAGGGGAGACCAGTGGTCCCTTTGCTCTCTCACCATCCCATTCCAGTGTATAACCACCTTCCCAATTAGGAAGTTCTTCCTCATCCAAATTTGCATCCTTCTTGCTCTAAGATCTTGTGTAGTACCAGGCCTAGGTTTCTCTTGTTCCTTGAAAAGTGTTTGATGGGGCTGGGTGTGGTGGTGCACACCTGTAATCCCGGAGACTCGGGAGGCTGAGGCAGGAGGATTGCAAGTTCAAAGCCAGCCTCAGCAACTTAGTGAGGTCCTGTCTCAATATAAAAAATTTAAAAAGAAAGGGGGGAGGGTAGGGGTTGTGGTTCAGTGGCAGAATGCTTACCTCGCACATGTGAGGCACTGCGTTCGATCCTCAGCACCACATAAAAAATGAACAAACAAAATAAAGATATTGTGTCCATGTATAACTAAAAAATATTTTAAAAAAAGAAAGGAGGGCTGGGATATAGCTCAGTGGTTAAGCACCCCTAGATTCAATGCCCGGTCTCCCCCCAGACCCCCCCAAAAAATGTTTGATGGGGCTGGAAGCGTAGCTGAGTGGTAGACTGTGTGCTTAGCATGCATGAGCCCTAAAACAAAACACCAAAAACAAACAAGGAAAGTGTTGGACTTTTTACTGTGGTGGGAGGGGAAGAGGGTGAGGAAGGAAAGAGGGGCTACATAGGAAAAGAAAGATCAAAAAAGTCCCTAAAGATTAGGGACTTTGGAATTGGGTTTGGTGGCACACACCTATAATCCCCGCTGCTCAGAGAGGCTGAGGCAGGATGATCACAAGTTCAAAGTCAGCCTCAGCAGCTTAGTGAGATCCTGTCTTAAAAAAAGTAATTTAAAAAGGGGCTGGGGATGTAGCTCAGTGGTAGAGAATCCTTGGGATCAATGGAATATACATATATGTACACATACACACACATATATATATTTGTTTATTTATTTTTGGTACCACTTAACAACCGAGCCACACCCCCAGCCCTTTTTTTTTCCATTTTTTTATTTTGAGACAGAGTCTCTAAGTTGCTTAGGACCTTGCTAAGTTGTTGAGACTGGCTTTTAATTCATGATCCTCCTGCCTCAGCCTCCCAAGTCACTTGGAGTACAGGTGTGTGCAAGCACGCCCTGCTTATTACTGTGATATTGACGCATCAATCCAACTTGGACATGCTCAGCTCCAGAAAGTCACAGTTTTTTTTTTTTTTAGTCATATCTTGAATTTGTTGAGGTCTGATTTACATACAATAAAATGAATCTTTACTCAGTGTCTATGGAGCAGCTGTTAGGTATTCAGCAGGATCCTGTCTTCATGAGTCCTGAGGTAGGTTATGGGGAAGCTGGAGTGCGGAAAACACAGAGGCAGCTTCTCCCTGCAGCCTATTGATGGAGCATCTGAGGGTGGGTTTGGAGGGCCAAGAAGAGGACACATTTGAGAGGATGGGAGAAAGAGGAGTTAAGTATTAGTTACCACAGAATCTCCTTCTCCCTCCCTAG